ACTGAAAAACTTCTGCAAAGTCAAAGAAACCATTGAGAGAGTGGGGAGACAGCCCACAGACTGGAAAAAATATTTGCCAACTGTATATCTCACAAAGGTCTAACATCTAGGATCTACAAGGAACTCAAACGTGCCAAAAAGAAAAAAAAACAAACAGTCCCATTACAAAGTGGACAAAAGATATGAATAGACACTTCTTAAAAGAAGACATGAGCAGCCAACAGATACATGAAAATATGCTCAGCCTCACTAGTCATCAAAAAAATGCAAATTAAAACCACACAGAGATAACCACCTAACTCCAGTCAGCATGGCCATCATCAGTAACTCAAAAAACAACAGATGCTGAAGAGGATGTGGGGGAAAAAAGAACACTTCTACACTGTTGGTGGGAGTGTAAACTAGTACAGCCTCTGTGGAAAACAGTGTGAGGATTCCTAAAAGACCTAAGCATCGACGTCCCATACTACACCGCAATCCCCCTACTGGGAATATACCCGGAGGAACTCAAATCCCTTTATGAAAAAGATACTGCACATGCCTGTTTATTGCCGTATTATTCACAATGGCAAAAACATGGAACCAACCGTGATGCCCATCGAAAGAGAACTGCATAGAAAATGTGGTACATATACACGACAGAATCTTATGTAGCCAAAAGAAGGACAAAATTATGATCGTCACAGCAACTTGAATGGACTTAGAGTCTATAATACTGAGTGATCTATCACAGAAACAAAGAACCGAGTATCAGTAGACCTTGAACAACTATTGTAATACTGTAAAAAAAGGGATTGGCAGAAATGGGAAACTGCCAGGGAAGGGTGGGGGCAGGATTTGCAGTAGGGAAACTGCCAGTGGGGGGGGGGCACACCTCAACATGGGTACCCGCACAATGAACATTTGTATACCTAACCCTGAATTGTACCCCACATATTTAAAATAAAAAGGAGAGAAAAACCTAGAAGTAAACTTTTGCACAGGGTTGGCAGGAAATGATGAAAGCTTGTATCCTATCAGAAGACACATCAGAAAGTAAATGACCTCATACAATTTCAAGGGCTTCATTATATCTACTAGCCCCTCAAATTCACTCATAGTAATGTGCACACTGGGATACCCTTAATAAGGACAAATCCTCCTTTTGACTTTAACATAAGGTTTACTTATTACTAATCTGGTTACATCTGAGACAGAATTTTCCACCTGGTTGTGTTTACAATGGGTAGAATAAATGATACTGTCTTCTATTCATTGAACTCTTTCCACACTTCACGATCTTTAAACTTATTATCCTGTTGAACTGTCACAACAACCCTATAAAATGGACATTATTTTTCCCCAGTTCACATGCTAGAAAACTGAGTCTCAGAGAATTTAGCAATATGTAATGGTACAACTTGAAACCAGAGCACACCTGACTCAAAACTCATGTTTTTAATACCTGAAAATGTTTTATAATTAGTCATTTGACACCCTTGGAAGTGCATATATTCACCAAAGAGTGTCCTTCTACTTTAGTGTATCTTGATTCTGGAAGTTTGTAGAATCATGCCTAACACACATATCAGTTGACATTTGTTCACAGCCATAACAACCTGATAGCACTTTTGTGACATTTCCCATTATTACAGCCTGTACAATGATGTCATATATACACTAAGTGACTTAGAGCTAGTTTTGTAAGATTGTTTGTGATAACTGAAGGAATGGAATTTGCTAACTCACACTTTCTTTGCAAAGGCAATTTGTGGTATCCATCTAAAGCAATTATTCAGACTGGGGTTTAAAATATTACTCCAAAGTGAAAATATCCTTTGCTGTTTCCTGATATCCTGTTTCTTTGCTTCTTATTTTATTTTATTTTATTTTTTATTATAAAGATGTGGGGTACAATTCAGGGTTGGGTATACAAACATTGATTATGCAGGTACCCTTTGCTCCTTATTTTATAGGTGAATTCAGGGGCATAAGGTAAAGCGAGTAACAAATAGCTAAAACATAACACTGGTCCAGCTATATTAAATATTGATATAATATTAAATTAATTATATCAATATTAATATTATACATTAAATTAATATAATATTAAACATAACAATATTGCCACAATCCTAGTTGCTATTGTTGCCAATATGGTGAGAAGAAAATAATCCTAGTTTGAAATGAAGGGAGATCTAAAAGTAATTCTTTCTAAAGGACCAGTCTATTCTTAATCCTTTATTTGATTTACCTTAGGAGCTTCAGTAAGAAAAGAAATGAGAAGAACAATATTTGAGGGATGGAAGGTCAAGGAAGTTAGTGCAATAATATTTTGTATTTTTTGCTCTGTTGACTTTTCAAAAGATAAATGTTATAATATATTTCTACATGAAAAATACGTGCACATTACATAAAATTTGAAAAATTTATAAGATAAAAAGATGGGAGAATGAGTTTCTTCCATATATCTGCCCCCAAAAGATGATCACTGTCTCATTTTGATGAATTTTTCTAAGTATAGGTTTAAAAAATGTGTTTGTATAGCTGTGATCACATTGAAGATATAATTTGTGTTTCTGAAGAGCACATTATAAAAGATAATAAGTCAAAGAAAGATCAACATTATCTGTGAATGTATAATTGTGACTTGGTTTGAATAACCATAAGTTGAGTATTCTGGGGATTACTTCCTTTAAAACCAAGAAATTATTATTTTGCTTAGGAAGAGTTAGAAAATTGTCTTGTGTTTACATACTTCTAATATCTCATAATGCTTTATTTTGTCAGATGACTACATAGATTGTTCAATAAGTGAAGTACTAGGCTAAGGGCTATAATAGAAAATGTCAAGTCTCTATTATCCCAAAGAAATATAATTGGTCCTGTCTTCAAAAAGTTTAAGAAAACACTTAACAAAATGTATTAAAAGTTTTTCATAGCAGAAGTTATAAAACAAATGCAAATAATTATATACTCACTCTATTTTGAAAATCTAAAATATAGAATTTAAAAATAAGTCATTTTATTACAATAAAAATTAAGTTATATTTTAAACTATATTCTCATAAGAAGTATTAAATAGCATAGATAAGTGCTAAAAATGATATAATTAATAATAGGCATTGATTTTATGATATAAAAAAATTTTACTCTTCCAGAATTGGTTGCTTTCAAAGGTTGAAGACATAGGGGAAGCATAAAGATGTCTATTATGGAGTATCATATAATAATAATAAAGAAAAATGATAAGTAACCAAAACATTCAACATACTGACAATGAATAAATACATTATGGTATTCACTTTCGTGGAATATTCTGTAGCCATGAAATATAGTGTTTAAAGAAGAATTTCTAATGATGTGATGTTTTTAAAATATTTATTTTAAATATTTTCTTGGTAATATTAAATATTAAAAACATTTTGATGGATTTCCATTGCCTTTGCAGTACATATATAAACAGTTTCATTTTTGGAAATGAGATAATATATCACACTATATGACAGCTTGCTTTTCTATGTGTTTAATATTACTATTTTTTCAATCCATTGAATATTCCTATAAAATATGATTTTAAAAGGTTCTAGCATATTCCATTTTTCAGATGTTTCATACTTAATTTAGCTAATTTTCTATGATTAGACATTCAGATTCTCCCTTTTAAAAATAATGCTTTAAATGAACATCTCTCACGCTTTCTTCCTCTCTCCCTCTCTGCATGCCCCCTCCATTCTTCTTTTCTCTCTATTTCTTTAAGTTAAATTCTAAGACACTGAATTTCTATATCAAGAAGTATGTAGGGCCAGGTGTGGTGGCTTATAATCCCAGCACTTTGGGAGACTGAGGCAGGAGGATCACTTGAGGCCAGGAGTTTAAGACCAGCCTGGGCAACATAGCAAGACCTCTCTCTACAACAAAAAAAAAAAATTTTTTTTAATTAGCCAAGAATGGCGACCTGTGCCTGAAACCCCAGATACTCAGGAGGCTGAGGTGGGAGGATCACTTGAACACAGGAGTTTGAGGCTGCAGAGAGCAATGCTCACACCACTGTACTCTAGCCTGAGCAACAGAGTGAGACCCTGTCCCAAGAACAAAACAAAACAGCAAAACAAAGCAAAAGGAAATATGTACATTTTATGTCCATTGGTTAGTTCCATTTCTTAGATTCAAATATTCCTAAAAACTTGTTTTCACTTTTAGTTAGCAATGCCCGGTTTCCTGTGCCTCCAACCCCCATGCCTAGAGAATGAAGACATCAATCCCAGCGTTAAACATATGTTCAACTAATGCTGTTTGGCAAAAGGGCATTCTCCTTGAGCTTCGCTTCCATTTCCCTTACTTTGCTTACCACAGAATCACTGTGTGCTTGAATTGAAACCTCCATAGTTATTTCCATTTTCCCTGCTGTCCAAGAGCAGTGTGGCTTCTCCATTTGGCCTGTCTATACACCTTCAGAATTTCTATATAGTACCCAGTTCTACCAACAAGAGTTTAATGCTTAACTCATGAATACTTTCTTTTTCACCAAAGGGGAGCAGTCAGTTCAGTCATATATGTTTCCCCTATAGTTGTGAATTATCTAGAGAACAGCTCTGCAAGTTCTTTAAATCCTTGAAGAGTTGTACTACATCACATAAGGTGTTTCCAATGTGTATGCTAACCACCTCTACATCTTGCCAGCAGTGAGAGAGACAAAAATAGTTTTGCATCAACAACTTGGCAAATGAGATATTTAAGTTGATAGTCTTTGAGCTGTTTTAGGTAAAGGAGGTGGCACATTCTGGTCTCTTCTGAGGACGTCATGGGGTAATACCATCTTTGTGATACAAAACTATTCCAAATAAGTAAGTTAGATGTATAAACATCTTTAGAGTAGGAGCCAGTTCCAATATTTTTTAGCATTCCACTTGGTCAATGAGACACAAAGCAGATGCTTGTCCCATACCTGTCAAATGGTATTACTAAATAACCCTGAAAGATGGTCATTATAAATGCCTGTGTCTAATGGCAAGTCTTACTCAGTCCAGCAGATCTTGTCCAGCAGCTCCTTCATTGTCATGTGGTCCCATTTTTCTGCAAGGGGTGCCTTCCAGGGGGCATCACTGGGAATCTACATTCAAATGTTAGATAACTGTTCAAATAATATTGAAAGCTCTAGTTTATTAAGGAAAAAAATTACATTCTCCAAAGTTCCCCAATAGTTACTTTCACTGCATCATCAATACTGTCTGTATTGCTTTCCTATTATAAATACACTCGAGTCATGTTTTATTTGTGATAATACTTACTGCACAATAAATGAAGGGATGTTGCAGCTGGCTTATTTCCAAATGTGGTTTACTAACTTCTAGAGAACATTAATAAATTCAACTATTTAACAAGGATCAGACAGCTTACCAAATCATGTCTAAATTGGAGTTTTCAGTTAAACTTTGTGTATGTTTACTTATGAGCTGTTTGGACATGGTGGTGACTCAAAGACCCAGATGTGTAACTTTGCTATGTCCTGAGGATTTTCTAAATTAGAAACATCATTCCAGGAGGACTGAGTGATACATTTTTTTTTCTGCCCACTCATCAGTAGTATACAAATAGCAATCTGTTTGGTATCTAATTCTTTTAGAGGCTAGAAATAAGTTCATTCATTTCACAAATCTTTACTAATTATTACTATGTGCTCATAATATGCTAGACAGTGGTGAAAGACACATTGTGCCTTCTTTCTTTTAAGGACTAAACTTAATATGAAAAATAGGAATTTAGTCAGAGAAGCTTTAGGAAGCTTTACCTCTTGCCCCATGTCATCCATCGTCCTCCAAAGGTTGTTATGATCTAGGTAAGCAATTGGATTCCATATAGGTGGGAATGGGCCCCTGAAGGCGTATGACTTGCCCTGTGAGAAACAAGATATTTTAAAGGGAAGTATTTATTACAATGTAAAAGTAGTTAATCTGCCAATTGGTAAATGTCTACAAGCAAAATCATGTTAGTTATCAATATGTGACATATACTCAATTCTTTTAGCTCCTTGTGTCCTCAAACTCCACTTAATTTCTTAGCAGAGATTTCCAGCAATATCCTCTGTTAACTAAATAAATTCAGTGCCATACCAAGCACAGTGAAGAGGCTTTTGTCTGAAATTGGAACATTTACCATGTAAAATATAAATACCAGTTCAGAAGTGAGGTTACCTAAATCTCATTTGACACGAGTAATATCAGGAGCCCCAGTTTGCCTTGATGGTCAGAAAATTATAACTGTACACATTATACAAATTAGAAGGGGATGAAAACCCAATCGTTGAAATGCAATCAACTGTAGGAAGAGCCACAAAACACGGCCCAGCAAGCTTTGCCAAGAACTCAGATGTGGTAGGTCAACACTGGAATTCCCAGAGATCAGCAAAGTCAAAGCAGAAAGATGAGATGACTTCAAGCCTCTCTTCCAGGCATGTTTATCCCACCTGGTTCTCCCCACAGGGACACCTTGACATAAAGATAAAGGAAACACTTCTTTCCAAGGATTAAAAATAAGGTAGCCCACAAATAATATCTGAGAGGTTTAACTTGTTGATGGCAGTTAAGGGACACATACAAAACACACTTTGGGTCAAGTTGGCATCCTGAGTCAGAAGCCAGGCTACGCATGCTGACAGCATCTTTCAATAGGATTGGAATAACTCAAGGTTCTCAGTCAACTGAAATCTCACAATAACTCTGAGTCATTCAACAAAGCTGCATCTTGTTTTGATGTTCTAGACAGGAAAAACTAGGTTTGAAAAATGAGAAGAGACTTCATATTAGTTCTTGTATGAATTCTGTGGTCATGTTGATCCTTTCTCTCCAACAAGGCCATAAGATTCTCAGAAAAGAGTTCAGACACAGGCTTACTTTTTTCCTTAATTTTCTCTAGAGAAACAGAACCAATGGGGGGCGGAGTAGAATATGAATGAGAGTGAGAGAATGAATTCAGATTTATTTTAAAGATTTCACTCATGTGATTGAGGAAGTTAGCATATCTAAAATCTGCAGGGCAGGCCAATGACCCACGGAAAAGTTGCAGTTCAAGTTTAAAGGTATTCTACTGGAGGTGTCAGGGAGATGGTGACCAAGCCAGTCAGACTATGCAAGTTCCGGTGTGAGTGAGTGTATGGAAAATTTTGTGTATGTGCTGGTGAGTGAGTGGGTGTGTAAGTGGCTGAATGAATGAGGGCTAGGGAGCCAGCAACCACAGCCCTCATGGTGAAGCAGCTGGTGCTGCAGTTGCTCTGCTTGGTCCCTAGTACTTCCCAGGTTGTAGAAGCCAAGCACCATTTTTTTTAAATGGATAAAAGTTTTCCTGTGAAGAAGTGGTGGGGAGAGACTACCAGCTCCAGGCTCTGCCTCACCACTGCAGCAGGAGAGATCACCAGCTACAGGTTTTGCCTCACCACTGCAGCGCCTGGCCAGACGCTGGCAGCAAAGGCTGTAGAGGGAGCCAGAGGCAGATTCCCACTGGAAAAGGTGAAAGAAGTACTCCACCATCATCCTGAAAATGGGGCAACTTGTTCATCACGGAGCAACAGATCCCATCTCTGTGACTGGTAGATCAACTACTCAGGGGTTGATCATGACACAGAGGTAATATCCTGAAAGCACAAACTTTGGAGGGACCTAATGGGTGCTGGGTCTCAGGTGCCCCACCCCCTGCCCTGATCCAGCCATGGTAAACAGTATGGCCAGAAAAGGATGAGGAAGACCTCCAAAGAGATCAGTGGTGAGTCCAGGCTGACCCAACACTCCCTTCCCCTGCAATCCTCTGAGCATCAGACCCACACAGCTGGGACACAACGAGAGGGACAAACCCGGGCCGAGCCTGGACATCAGTCATTAATAGAAGAACTCCATTCCAGGATAGGCCTGGCAGGGACACCCCCATGAGTACATACCTGGGGAAGTGACAATCCTGCACCTCCCCACTGGAAGGGATCTTCCTGACCATATGAGAGTGGAAGGGGAGGACTGTAGCCCCACCCACCTCCACTGTCCTTCCTCCTTCCCTGCTCCAGACACTGGGGAGAGAGTGAATGAGGCAGAAGCCCTGCAGAGCAGATGAGAGGAACAATTACAGAACCTGCCAAAATATGGCAGGGTTTTATTTCTTTTCTTTAATTTTTTTTTCAATTTTTTTGCCTGTTTGTTGGTTCATCTATTTTTAAATATTCTACCTTTGTGCATTAATGTGTATGTAAGGGTTTGATCTGCATCCCCCCATGTTTTTACTTTCTTTTTTCTTTCTTCTATTTTTTTTTTTTTTTTTTCTGTTTATGTGTGTATGTGAATGATTGCATGTTCATCTTTCAGGTTTTTTGTTGGTGGTGGTTTGCTTTTGCTCTTTTGTTCTTCTCTTTTTTATTTTTATGTTTTTTAGTTTAAGGTGCATGTGAATATATATGTGAGGGTTCAATCTAAATTCCTTTGGGGTTTTTTGTTTGTTTGTTTTTGCTTTTGTTTTTCCAATCTTTCTCTTTTTCTTCTCCATTCATGTTGTGCTAGGCATGTGTGTGCAGGTGTGTTTAGTTTTCCTGGTTTGTTGTTGTTGTTTGTTTGGTTGGTTTCACTTCGTTGTTATTCCAGTTTGTTTGGGGGTGTGTGTGTATGTCTGTGTTTGTGTGTGTTCAATTGTTTTTGCTTTGGTTTCTGCTTTCACTGTTCTGTGTTTTTTTTTCTTTTTTTAAAATTCTTGTCCATCGTATTTCATTCTATTTTTCTCTGTTCTCCTCATTGCTGTCACTGTATCTTGGACGCAGGGGGTACACACACATTGCCTTGTCATATAGAGTGATAGTGGGGAGTGAGTCTCAGGGAGCACATACCACAATCAGTGAACATTATGATTTGCAAGTAGTTTCTGAATTCTAGCTCCCCACCCCCTACCTTATTCAACTTTCAAAACTACAAGAGAAAAGACAGCAAAGTTTCCCACCCATATTCCCGTTTCAAAATAGAACAAATCCAGAGCCTGCATCAGGGAAGAATAGAGGGTTGAGCAAATATCAGAAGTGAAAGCCTTTCCCACTGACACTGAATAACAGGACTAACGAGAAAAGCAAGAGCTCAGTCACAAATGAGGAAAACCCAATGGAAGACCACAAGTAACTTCAAGTGTAACAAAGAGAAAATTCCTGAAAAATCAGACCTCAGAGCCCAAACAATGGAAGTCACCAACAACTGACCCCAGAAAACGACAGGGATTATGGAATGGATGGAAAGTGTGAGTAAGACTCAAGAAAGACAAGATGCAATACTGAAAGAATTCATAAAAGAGATATTGGCAATAAAAAATTTCATCCAGGAAATAAATCACAGGATGACAAGCATGGAAAGCAGAATTAATCTAACTGAAGAAAGAATCTCAGAACTTGAAGACCAGAACATGGAATCAACTCAATCTGTAAAAAACACAGAAAGAAAACTTGGAAAGAAAGAACAAAGCCTACAAGAATTATGTGATTAAATCAACAGGCTGAATCTATGCCTGACTGGTATCCCAGAAGAAAAGGAAATAGAGAACACCTTGGAGCATGTATTCCAAGAGGTAATCCAAGAAAACTTTCCCCATTTCACCAGAGATGTGATCAACCAAACACAAGAGATACAGAGAGCCCCCACAAGACATCAAATAAAAATACCAAACCCTAGTCACAGTAATTTGCCAACACAAAGTAGAATAAAAGAAAAAATCCTAAAGGCAACAAGAGAGAAAGACTTGCTATTGGGGAAACCGATCAGAATAGCAGCAGATCTATTGGCAGAAACACTGCAAGCAAGAAGGGACTGAAATCCAATATTGAAAGTCCTCAAAGATAAACAATTTCAACCAAGAATTTCCAATCCAACCAAGCTCAGCTTCATCAGTGATGGAGAATTAAAATCCTTCCCAGACATCCAATCCCTAAGTGATTATGCAGCTTCCAGACCAGTTCTACAGGAGACACTTAAAAAGGTATTAAACACAGAAGAAAGAAAAAAAAGAATGACTGCACACTTCCCAAGAGAACAGCAGGCTACAGAATCAACAGAGAATATAGCACAACAAGAAACTTGAAAACACACACATACAACAACCCCAAAGCCAAAAGAAAAAAAAGCAAACAAAGAAAAAACTTTATAAGAAACTCATAACAGGGAAAAACAATCACATTTCAATAGTCAGCCTGAATGTGAATGGACTAAATGCACCACTGAAAAGACACAGAATGGCAAACTGGATAAGAAACGATGACTCAATTATTTGCTGCATCCAGGAGACTCATCTCACTATAAGGGATGCACACAGACTCAAAGTTAAAGGATGGAAAAAGAGTTTCCAGGCAAATGGATCACAAAAGAAGGCAGGATTGCAACACCTGCCTTCTTAATGTCAGACAAAACAACCTTTAAACTATCAAAAATTTAAAAATATGCAAAAGGACACTACATAATGACAAAAGATTTAATCCATCAACAAGAAATATCCATCCTAAACATTTATACACCCAACACAGGAGCACCAGCATTTATAAAGCAACTACTAAATAAACTTTTTAAAAATGTGACTCTAAACTATTATAGCAGGGGACTTGAATACCCCACTAACAGCCTTAGATAGCTCAACAAGGCAAAAAATCAACAAGGAGATCCAGAACCTAAACTTGACACTCGACTAAATGAACTTAATAGATACCTACAGATTATTCCACCCAACAACCACAGAATATACATTCTACTCATCACCACATGGAATGTACTCCAAGATTGGTCACACCCTGGCCATAAATCAAGCATGAACAAATTCCATAAGGTTGAAATCTTGCCATGCACATTCTCAGACCACAGTGGAATAAAAATAAATATCAACACCAACAAAATTTCC